TATATAAAAAGGGAGAGGAAGGTCAAGTTAGCAAGCTAAATCTTAGTAAGATCATCATCAACTATAAAGATAGTCAAGAAAAAGTACAAACTATATGTAAATTTGCCCTTTTTCTTGTAAGGTTTCACAAGCACACATAAATCACAAACAAAATGTGGGTTCCCTTTGGTCAAAATGAGCTTAATGGTCTCCGGATACACAAATGTCACAAACCCAAACAATCTTTTCTGCTGATATGGAACCTTTACATCATGCACAGGTCAAAACATGCTTCAAATCATTAGACTTTATTCTTATAACTGGTTAGTTAGGGTAGGGACAAAGATACAAAAACATATATCCGGGTAAGATATATTTCAAAATCCTTGTTCACTTTTATAACATTATAACAATTTGGCCACTCAACAAAGCCATACTAACATCATATCACAAATTCACCCACTCAATGAAGAAGATGAAATACAGTCTTGTGTCATTCTTCGAATATTCTAAAATATTTCATTTTTCATTTTCATTTGATATAAAAGAATGTTGCAAACTCATCTTCAAAATTGGGCATAACACAATTAGAAAACCTCATAAAATTGCAATGCTGTAATAATGATCCAACAAAGTTTAAAACGAACACGATTCAGTCGAACATCAAAACCTCAATTGAAATGAAGAAAAAACAAAAATAAACAAAAAAATGAATTCATTTTTTACTCATTGAACAAATTGCACGCAGTAGCATATTAGAATTTAGATCTGGTCAGATAAACTATTTCAGAGACCATACAAACAAAAGCACAAACAGAATGTTAAATATCTGAAATTACCTGGAGAAGACGGCCTTAGTTGCGGCACTTGAGGAGAAACGACGACTGGTTAGGATAGGAGGTAATGGCGTTGTTCGAGATGCGGGCTCGGAGGAGGTCGGTGCAGAGAGACAAAGGAAAAGACAACGTAGGAAAGTGCGTCGGCAAAGGATGGCGGTGGTGGTGAGTTCGTCGGCAGAGGGTGGCAAGATGCGGTGCGGCGGGGTGGTGATGGAGGATTCTACTTCAGCAACTTGAAGATGTAGATCTTGTACGTCTGCACGCTTCTTTTCACTCTCTTCTTCTTTTCTCCAACATCTCTTCTTCGTGAGGGTTTTTTTTTCTCCGTCGGAGCGTTGGCGGTTGGCTTCTTTACTCAACCTCGGGTGTCACGTTTGACAAAGACGGGAGTAAAGAGGTTTTTACTTTAGACAGGAATAAAAGTCAAAAATTTGTTACTATAATGATGGATAAGATTATGATGGAATGTTATTTTCGATTTTAATGGAGTAGTTTCCGATTAATTGTTAATTGTTCACTATATAAAAAACAATCCTTATCTGATTTTAATGGAGTAGTTTCCGATTTTAATGGAATGGCCCCAAAGATAAAATTGCAGAAATTGTATCTTCCAGTTAATTTAGCAGTGATTTAACAAAAAGTAAAATTAAACGCATGAAAAAAAAAAAATTTAATAAGTGTTCCATAAATAGAAAGTCAAAAGTCAACGCAAATATTTTTTAATTTCTAAAAATGAATTTTCCAACAACCTATTTATATAGATATAGATATAGATATAGATATAGATGTCACAGTACATTTTTAAATGGATTAAATAAATAGTAATAGTCGTTTTCTATGTACACGTCTAGGTAGACACATGAAGTATTAAAATGATTAAAAATAAAATAAAATTCTTTTTCAACTACAAAGTATTGTCTAGACACATGAAGTATTAAAACGATTAAAAAAAAAAAAAAAACTTTTTCAACTACAAAGTATTGTATTTCCAGTACACTCCTTTCACTAAATGATGTTTTCCTTTATGTTTTTTAAGTAGAAAGAAATATTGGTAGACTGATCTGTGCTCATTACATTTGAAACTATATACAGGCAATATTGAAACCCATGTTTAATGTTTTTGGGTAAATTTAAAGTCCCGTTACGGAATCATTCCTTTGAAGTTTGTAACCGTGCACATGCTCCACTAATCTACATGATAAATCA